ACTAAAGCTAGGATATTACTTTCAGAGTGACAGCAAATTCGACGGATAACTGGAAACAGGCTGTGCCAAACCGTTTCCTTTCTTGAAAGAACCCCAGGCTGGAGGGTGTTGTTCTCCTTGCCTTCCAGGTCATTTTGTAATATTGAGAAGGAAAAACTCTTGCTTGATTATGACTGGGTTGGCTGGCCTTAGTAAAGGAAGGATGGAGTTAATGCAAAGCTATGGAACAGTGTGCTTGAAGGTTTGCCCATATTTCTACTCAGGAGACTTTCTGAAGATGTTGAGGAGCACAGATTTGTCTGGGAGCTGTGGGTCGCCTGCCCTGCATGCTCAACCTGTTCAACTTATCGATCTGTTCAGTGTTCTCTAAGCAGTGTTCAGCTTTTCTTGTGCTGCTTTTCCTCCCTTCCCCCCTGCCTCCCCAGTCCTTGTCCATTCAAGGTGAACCACAGGGAATTCAGTGGCAATTAAACACATTCTTATGGATTGCCTTTAAAGCTTTGTTTCCTTTGGGTCCCTCGGGGAGAGGCACCGAGAGGAGGAGGGGCAGGAAGGAGAAGAGCTACATGTAACCCTCTGCATTGCTGTACGTGGCAGAGAACAGTGCCCTCCGTTTGTCTAAAAGGAACAACAGCTAGCTGTGGTCTGCACAAGGCCAGCGTGCTGGAGCCAAGATGCCAGCATGCAGCATGCTTCCAGTTCATACCATTTTAGCAGCCAGTGATGAATTGCACGATGTCACTTGAATGTGTATTGCTTTGCACTGGTGCTCCCTCATTTCTTGAGAGGCAAGTTGATGGCAGCCTGTATTGTTAAGAATGTAGATTGGATGTTAAACCCTGTCCTGTTCTTTGATGGATGTGCAGCTTCTGTGGTTAAATATCTTCCTGCTGGAGCACACCAGGTACCAAGGGAAGGAGATACAGTCTTGTGTAGTCTATCCCTCCCCAACAGGTTATTGCGTTGGGAAGATCTTGATCTTCTGCTGGGAGGGAGGCACCTGCTTTGAGATTTAGAGAGAAACCCCTTTAAAGCAGCTTGTCTGTGTGTGGTCATTCTGGGGAGCATTATATCTGCTCAGTCACATACCAGTCCATGATTGTGATGTTGCCTTTAGAGGAAGAGCACATTGGTTATGAGAGAGCCTGCTCACATTAATCTTGTAAAACAACCATAAAAATATGATGATGTGGCTCCAGTCACTCTGCAGAGCAGCAGCATGGGTCCCGGCTTGCTGGCTGCCTGTGTCTGTGCTGCTCTTCATCCAAGCAGTTGAGCCTCTCAGAGCTTGGCAGCTCTGAGCAGCAGGAGACCGTGCTGGCCTGACTGCAGCCAGAGCAACCTCTGCTCCCAGTTCTAGGAGTGTAATACAGTCCAGAGCAGGGTCTGAACTGTGGCTTAGTCACCAAGTTGTGTGAAAACAGTTAACTCCTGCCAGACCAGAGAGAGGCTGACAAACAGTATAGTTTCATTCACACCATGCTGTGTCTGAACTCCTGAACCCTGTGGGATACAACCCATTGTAAACTGAAATTTGACTCTTAAGGCTGCTTTTGTGCTGAAGTGTCTTTGGTTATTCATATAGGGATTGATTTGGCATCATTAAACCACTGGGGAAAGGTGGTTTGCTATTGATGTTAGTGTATCTGTGATCCTTCCCATAATATTTAGAGCTGTGGAATATACAGCATTTAGATTTATTGATAGCAATCTTAGCAAGTAAGAACACTTGACAATATCAAGGGAAGCAGAAGAGCCTATTTTAGCAATCTGTGAACAGGAATTTTTTATCCTAATGCTGAGTGGTCAGCTGATGTAGGAAATGTTGCTGCCTTTCTCTCTCTTTTGCTCAGCTTTACCAGCTGAGAAGTAAGGGTCAGACTATTTTCCAAAAGGGTTATAAGCACTGATTAGTTAACTTTATGTGAAGCCTGGTTGAAGCACAAAGTTACTAGAATTTAATCAATACACATCTTTAAAAGCAAAATCCAAAAAGGGATAAAAAATGGCTTCACAGTCTTTGGTCTCCACAGGGCCAGGAGTTTCAGGAAAGAACAAATCCATAATTGTTTGACTTGCTCAGAAATGCAGAATTGACAAGAGATTTTGGATTAGAAAAGGTTCATTGGTTTTTTACATCTCTGATCTGTCATTCTGTTAGCTCATCCATCCCTTTATCCACCAGGGCAACAGTGTTCCCTGTTACATACTTCTAGTAGTTTGACTGGTTTTTGAAATCTCTGGTGTTTTGGCTTTCCCAGAGAACCTATCCTGCAGTCCCCATGTGCTCATTAGGAGGTGTCTTGATCTTCAAGCTACGTGCTATTTTTCCTTTCAGTATTTCCTGTTTTTCCTCGCCTTGGTTTACATCTCTCTTCTTCCTTGGGTCCATCCATGGCAGAAGGCTGCTAAGCCAGGTAACTTCTCCTGTTTGATTGTCCAGAGTTTGGAGAAAAGTGATCTCATGGCTAAATGAGAGATCTTGAAGCCAGTTTGTCTCTTGCTACATTTTTCTTTGAGATCTTTGGTACTGATCTGGTAATTTACTGGGAGACATTTCTGGGAAATGAAACTGTCCTTCCTCTGAAGAAGAAAAATATGATATTCCATTCATGCCTAGTTCAGTGCTTTGTGATTTCTTCTTGGTAAGACAGGAAAGATTCTCCTGGTTACTGTCCTTCCATGTGATGTACACTCCTCTGTCTGCTAACTGAGCATGTGGTGAGGCCTATTTTTCAAGCAGGGGAAACCAGTATTCAAAGATGTCAAAAAGCAGGTAGCAATGACTTCAAGCCTCTACTTTACTCCTGAATGCTCAACTTGATTCTGCAGATGCAGAATCCCCTTGGAAATGCACGTGAGGGTCACCAGGCACATTCTTTCCTTTCCAATGGACTGCAGGGAGCTGAACAGCCAGCTGTGTCCCTTTAAGACCTGGGAGGCTGTTCCTAACACAGAGGTGCAGGTTGTTCGGGCAATGCCAAGTGAATGAAGATCAGGGCAGGAAGAGAGCCGATGGGGCGATCAATAGGTGTCTCAGATATCCAGGCCACTTTCTTTAAGAGATCTCCGATCAATGCATTGCAGCGAGGGAACTGCACAGACACCAGAGCTTTGCTGTCTCAGGTTCTCCAGGCGTGACGCTGCAGGGCAGGCGAGACTCACTGGGGAGAGTGACTGGCAGAAAGCAATGCCTGCGGAGCCCAACAGACTCAGATGTGTTGGCCTGTCTAGCTGTCCATCTCTCACTTTCCCTTCCATCTGGAGTGTGTGCTCAGAGAGTCCTAATTGCCCCCTCATTCACAGACCTGGACAGGAGGCTGCTGGATTTGGAGTCTGCGATTCCAGCGTACCCCAATCCAAGAGTCCCTGTAGAGAGGTTATGTCCCTAGAAAACCTGTGCTCTGCTGACTGTGGCCTGGCTGAGGTATCTGCAGGCAGAGATGAATGGGGCTTCTCTACAGCTTTGTCCAGCCGAAGTGCATACCTTCCTGTTCTGCAAAATCTGTCTGCAAACAGAAATGTTACCTGTAAGGATGCCTAGCCATTGAGGGTGGCCTGTGGGGCTTCCAAGAAAGAGAGCAAAGACTGAAAGAGCCCTGGGGATGTATCCTGAGGCAGATGAGGTGCACTTTATTTCAGAAAATATTTACATCCAGAGTTTCCCAGATGCATTTCTTCTAAGAATTCCCAAGATAGGAAAACTGCTTTGTTCAAGATGCTGTGCCTCTCTCACAATGTCTTTGAAGGCAAATTCTCCTCTGGCCTGGCCTCCTTGCTCTGAGGGTCACCCAGCAGCTTTTACTTATGTGGTGAGGGTGAAGTCCACATGCATAAGGAAGGTAGGGGAAAGAAGTCTGGATCTGGATGCAGAAAAGGGAGGCTCTTTAACAGCAAGAGAGAATTTGGGCAATTAGCGAAGAAAGGTGGATGATTTACTTTGGCTACATGACTCTGTTTCTTCCCAGAAGTGTATCTGCTGTGATGTAGTAATCCCAGGTACAACCATTCATTTCTCAAGCTTTGCTCCTTGTCATACTAATGCACTTCAATAAGTAAGACTAGAGAACATGTTAAAATTCAATAGGACATCCAAATTCCTTGTTACAAATCCCCCAAGCTCCCAAACTGTTATCTGTCTAATCTGATTTGTGATGTACTCATCACTAGAATGTGTGGATACTGACACTGCAGGGCCAAGGACTGAAATATGAATGAGAAGTGAAGAGAGAAGAGCCACAGAATTCACCCTGCTCATCTTCCTGTTAGCTGTTCCCCTTTCTCACCTGTCTGCAGAGCCTTTGGCAATGCCCTGCCTACTGCAGCCAGTAGAACTATCCTAACTCTGCTCTTTTCCTTACCAAATGCAGCCAGTGGCTGTTACAAATGCTTTCCAGGGAAACAAACCTGTCACTCCTGGGTAGACCCGGCTCTGTGATTTTATAAATTGGGTGCCATTGTCCAGTAGCTAAACAAGGGATTCCTGGCACTGGCAATCTCAAAGTACTTCTACTTCATAACTTTGCCTTCATTGTTCACTAAAATCCAGATAACTGAATCAACAGTGGATCTCCTTTCAGCAGTGGAGGGTGTTTCATTTCTCTTTTTAAGTGTCAGAATCTCTCAATGGAGCAAAGTGTTTCCAGCAACCGCTCCCTCCTGCCCCCATCCCTGCTTCCAAACCATGTGTTCTCGAAAAGATATTTGATTCCAGTGAAAGCTCAGCTGACATCCCTGCAATATGCTTGGGTTTTGGCTTTGTGCTTCCTGGGAAGGATGAGGGCTCCTCCGGGGATTCTGGGTAATTGGGTTAGTGGCCAGCTCATGTCAGGAAATTAAAAGGCAGCCCCGATCAGGTTGCTGCTGCATGGGATTTAATGGCTTTGTATTTATAAAGTATTCTGCCTCCAGCCGGTGCCAGAAATATCACTACTGGAGGCATCCAGATGAAAAAAAAAAAGAAAATCTATTTTTCTTACTCTAAAATACCTTTGTGTTTAAAAACAGATGGGCAACCAACTACTCTGTCCTTTGAAATAGGATTTCCAGATGCAGTGAGTGGCATCTTTATGTCTGTATCTTCTACACCCAGCCATTTTCCAAGACTGAATTGAGCATTTATAGTATGGCTAGAACTGGGCTGGGTGGTAGCACAACATAGAGTGTATGCAGCCCTTGGTAGGATGATGGTAAAGCTCCAGAATTGAGACTTCTTTCTAATGGATGGGCCATCAGCAAGTGTACATTGGAATGATAGCACTTGGTATCTGTTTTCTGAACACCAGACAGGTGCATCATGGGCCCTCACAACACCTTCTGCCACATCCAGTGGATTATCAATCGGTCAAGGTTGGTTTTCTCCACTCATTTTGAACCATTAATCTGCCCAGATAAGTCCGTAGGTTCTTGTTATATGTAACTGAACCTCTGTTCTTTCAAACGTGAAGTCCAGATTCTGTTGATGTACATCAGTGCAAATTCAGAGAGGGATTGCCTTTACTAAGGTTTGTGATATACTCTGTGAATTCCATCACTAGAAGTTGTGCTTAGTGCTCTTATAACACATACAAAAAGAGGAAGCTGATAAAAACTGCAGCCGTGCAAGGATTTTTAGATGCCAATCATCATGCAACAAATCTGTGCAGTGGGTAAGATCCTCTGAGCTGAGCAGGAGTAGATTGGGCCTGGATGCTTGTCCCACTCCTCTACTGTAACTTAAGGCATGTACATTCAACAGTGTCAGTGGACACTAGTTCTTAGTACTGCAAACACCACTGCTGAGGTGGGAATTTCAGGAGACATTTTACATTCCAAGGCACAAGTAGAGCTGTGCTGAGAGAGCTGGCTGAAGTGGCAGCACACTGTGTTCTTGGGCCCACAGAGCTCCCTCACCTCTGCAAAGTTTTGTCACAAGTGGGCCTCTCTCCATGTGCTGGTGGGGCCTCTCCATTGTGTCATAAATCTAGAATTTTGTTTCTCAGTCCATGCTCATGCTCCCTTGCCTGATCCAAAAGGCTTGTGTCCTCTATCTAAACATTTAAACAGTCTTCTCACAGATGTTCTCAGTGTGAAATAGAAAATTGAGCTAGAAAAAGCATTAGTTTGACCCTTCAGGGCATTTCTGAGGTTCATCACATCTCCTCAGATAAGTGTCTGGAGGGTGATGTGAACGCAGATCTGCCTGCTTCTTTCTGTTGCTTCTCAGAGGAGCCCAGATGCACAGAAGAAAGCTCTCAAAGTCTAAAGTAAGGTAAGTGGAATCACACCCAGGGCTGTAGGTTCCTCTAGGCAGCAAGCACCCTTTTGGGGATTCAGTTCTGAGTATTATCTCTTGGAAAGTTGATGGCACTGTGGCTTTGTCATCTCTTAGGTCCTTCTGTGAAAGTCATCTCTGGTCTTTTCCTGGCAGACACATGCCTGTGTCTTCTTTCATAGTGCCCCTCAGCCCGCTGCTGTGTGAGTATTGCTTTTGTGGGTGATAAAAGTCAATAAGCCTTTTGTCCTCCTTCAGACTGGTTAGAGGCCCATGACGGGAAACAGTCCAAGCATTTGCATGGACCATGAACAGAAAGTGAGGGTATGGGTGTGGGGAACACTACAGAATGCTAAAGAATGTACCGAGGTATTCTTTATTCCCTTCTGCCCCTGAAGCCCTTCTTGATTCCTGGTTTTCCACTGTGACTGGGGACTCAGCATGGGAAGGAAGCTGTGTCTTTGAGGGACAGGCCAGGAATGCAGAGACACCTCAGCAGAGCTGGCAGCTGAGGAGGAAAAGGGTTCACAAGCTTTTGAATTACATCAGGTCATATATGCTTTGGACCAACCACCTGGCACATGCAGCTTATATGTGTGTGACAGCTTGTGTCAGTGCTCCATGTGACAGGCTCTGGAACCAAGTATATCACCATTTGTTACAGGGCTAACCTGTCCCTTGCAGTTCAGCAACTGCTTAGTTAGACCAGCAGGAAAACAACTTTTCTACTCAACTAATACATCCTTGAAAATATCAGAGGGGGGGTCAGATCCATCTCTCTATAGTTCCTTGTAACACAGGAGAGGGATTATGATATAAACAGGACTTTTTCCTCTTCCTGTGATGGAATCTACAAGTGACAAAAGAAAACCTGGTCAGGCTCCAGCCTTTCCACCTTCTCACTAAGCACTTTTCTCCATAGTCTGTTTCTTTCCCCTTGTCCGCACCCCTAACTTTTAAGGTCATAGCTACACTGTTTCCTTGATAGGTGTCCTCCCAGCTCATTCCTCCCACTGCCACATCCCCTTGTCTCTCCTGATGTTCTGAGCAAAAAAGAAGGAACGCCTTGCGTACAGCACATTTCCCTTCCTTTTTCCTTTGGTCTCAGCCAAGGTTTGCCAGCTTTCTTGGGCACTGCCAGTCCCCATGCTTTAGACTGCAGCTCCTGGGGACAAAGGTATCTCTGTCACCTGCGGAGCACCACTCAGCTCAGACTCCGGGAGAGCAGCTAGGTTGCACTGATGCAGACTGTACTTCAAGGTATAGGTGGGCAGTAAGCACAGGATCTGGCTGGTTTATAGAGTAAACTGGGCAAAAGCAGTCCTGGAGATGCTGCTCCCTAGCAAGCACTTGCCCTCTCTTCCCTTCAGTTGTGTCCTTCTCGGTCTAGACACAAATTGTCCCATGCATAAACCGTGTAGCTTAGCTTCTCTGTTAGCTCTTTTGGCAAGATGGATCTTTCTGTTCCTATCAATTCATGAGCATGTGATAGGACTTGATGGAAAGTGAGGTGAGGCTAGTAATTTGACACGACAGCTGATATTGGGCCTAGACTGCATTTCCCAATGGCCTGAGCCTAGCTTCACAGAGCTTTTAAGATTATTTTTAGTCCCCAGAAAATAAAAGAGAAACTAAACCTGACTCCGTATGCTGTCGCCTCTGCATACTCGGCTATTTTTACTTCCGACAGACTGGGCCTAAGTCCAGCTTTTAAAAAAAGATGGAATTATTTTACTTCCATTAAGAAAAAAAACCCGAAGCCTGATGTTATCAAGTCAGCATGGGGACATCTGATCCCAAAGTTGTCGGGCAGACATCTCTCTGAGGGGCATGTCACAGAAATGCAGGGAGCTTGAACACATCAGCGGATCAGCTCTCCCACTGCAGAGGCTTGGTGCTGGCACAGACCTCTCCGCACCAGCACTTGGAACACGAGTGGCACCCACAGGACGCTTCGAAAACTGACAGTCCTGCCCCGGGCAGGACGCTAAGCCGACAAGTTCTGCACGAGCCTCGGACTTGCCCCTCTCCTTGCTTGGTGCTGGGGAGTTGAGAGCATGCTGCTAGTGAGTGGGGGTTCAATGCCAGTGGTGGACGAGGGGCCCTGCTTTGCACCTGGGCTGCTGTGCAGAGTGCCTCAAAAGGTAACAAAATTCAACAAACGGCACTTCCTGGCAGCGCACGGAATGGGACGAGAGGGGATGTTTCCAGCACATATAGCCTTCATTTCTGAAGAAGCAGTTTCCAGAAAGGTAGGTCAGCACAGAGTGATACTTCCAGACTTTGCTCTGTACTGTAGCACCGCACATTGTAAATATGAATCTTCCCATCCTGTCTGCTCTAGCTGACCCTCCTTGCTGACGCTGTGACAAGAAGGGGGGGATCCAGAAGTGCCTGTCACGGTGAAGGCTTTGTAAGATGAGTGCTTTCTTTCCTGGGAGCTGGACAGATGTGATCCATGAGAAAAATCAGTCTGTGCAGCAGCTGGAAGTCAGCTGCTTTCTCTTGGTGCTGTCCTCTCAGGCTGTGGTATCAAACCCTGTGTGAGAGCCTTCTGACCAGCTATATCTCAGAAGCGACTGCTGCACTTCGCAGTTAAAGCGCAGGTGGCTGCAGCTTGGTGTGAACTCTGCATTTGGGATTACAGTATACAAAGTACTCAGCCTTGTTCCAGTCCTGCCCCTCTCATCTCTCTTCTGCCCTCTCGCTTTCAGTCATTCCATTTACATCCTGCTCTGTTTCTTCTCCACTTGTTGCTTTCCTTCTTGCTCTGAGCTCATGCACTGCAACTCCCCACCCCATTTTAACAACCCTTAGGTTTCCCCTAGCAGAGCTGCATTGTAACCACCCTTCCTATCTTAAAATCAATCAGTGAGCAAACCAGCAGACGTTAACAAGCCACTGCTGCTTAGTATCGGATCTTGAATTTTGGCCATGCCCTTTCCTGTCATCTAACTATGACCCCTTACGTGGTCAACTCTTTAGGAAAGAGCTTTTGCCACAGTGCTCACTTCTGGACTGTCACAGTCAGGGACTCAGCTTGAGATGCCTTTGTTTCCTGTTGCCCTCAGCAGCTGGAGCTGCTGATGACAGGGTAGGGTAGTGGCTCTGCAAATGCTGATTGAAAACATTTGCCTCAAGGAGTTTCATGCAGGATAGGGAACAACAAGAGGACAAAGGCTTGTTCAAAATAAACAAGCTAAAGACCTTGGGCGAACAGACTTCTATCTTCCTAGTGAGGGAAGGAGGGACGGAAGGTAAATCTCTCTGCGTCTCTCATTTTTTTTTTTTTTTAATGCACTTAAGTCGTTTGTGTCCTTATAATCTGATTGAGGGTCCCTAATACTGCTGCAACCTGTGCAGCCATCCCTCTGCTGGGCACTGGAGATGCATGCTTCTCCTTGGGAGAAGGAACAGAAAGCTCCTTCCCCCATTTTCTCCCAACTCTCAGTCCTCCCTCCATACTGCTTAGCAAAGTGCACAGCAAAAGCGTTGTGGAGAGCTGTTCGCTGGTTTCTACTGGGCTGAGAATGGTGTCCCCCATTCCAGTGATATCCTGCCTACCTACTGGCATGAGAGAATGGGCCTTCCTGTGACCTTTCTTCTGTGAGCATCCTAGGAAGCTGTGATTCAGGAGTGAAGTCCTTTTCTGGATTCCTCCATAACCTTCAAACAGAATTATTCCTGACCCTTTAAATTTTCGTAGCTGGTTACTTGGTTTCCTGGTACTTCCTGAAATCTGTCTCTCCCTTTTCCTCCTGGCTGTAGGTAGGTGTTGGTCATTCAGCAGAACATAGCAGCATAGGGGTCTTCTTTCTTATGAAACCAGGGAACATGTACAAAAGGAAAGAATCACAGGCAGAAGTGACAGCATCCTACTTCATCCAGTACTTTATTAGTGCTGTTCCTCCAGGATCTCCTAGGATAAACTTAGGCTTGGGATTCCCCATCTGCCCTTTCTAAAAATCACTCACTGAAACCTATTAGGGTTCCCAGGATGACATTTTGCTCACAGGCTACCTGCTGCAAGGAACAGAGATAAAAGAAGTAGTGGGCAACGTTTTCAGAAAATCTGCTGTGTAATGGAGGAGGAAAGTAGTACTTACTCTTAGGGACATCAGTAAGCTCTCTATACAGAGTCAGAAATAGAAAATGCAGGGGGAAGGAAAGGTTTGATCTGAATTCACACATTCTATTTCACGTCATTCTGTCTATCTTCCAATGCCTGTCCTCCTCCCAGAGCACACTCCTGCAGCAGCAGTTCCTTTGGTCTCAAGAACTCCAGGCCTCCCGTCTTCCTGCTTCCTCTGCTTAATGGCAGCAGCTGGTCTCTTAAAAGGAAGCAGCTATGTAGCCCTACCAACAGCATGTCCCAGCACACCGAGGCTTAAAGGCAATGCACCTGCACGTGGTGTTGCTCCTACTGGAAGTCCTGGCAGTACTGCTGTGTAGCTAAGTGCCATTGGCCTGGCTGACAATGGTTCTTCTTGCCATTGCAAGGCTGTTGGTGCTTGTTTGTCAGTTGATCTGGTTTGGGTGCTCCGGTTGTGGCATCAGGATCGAGGTGTTGTGGCAAGTAATAATTTCATATGGTATCAGTGGGATCAGTGCGAGCACATTACAAGCTTTCCTTTTTCCATGACCCAGTAAGTAAATGGGGCATTGGCTTGAGACATACAGTGTGACAGATGTGTCTCCTTCTGGGGTTGAATATGTCAGCAGGCTGCAGGTTTTTCAGATGTACAAGTTGTTCAAAAAGCACTGGTTTGGAGGGTTTGCTTTTAGATGTTTGTGTTTATGCAGTAAATTGATTGCAAAATATTAATGGCTCAGCGTGATTAGTAAGTTTATCACATAATTGGTTCCTGTGATCAGACTAGATAAACTCATCAGCATTTATATGCTTGTATTGTGTAGATTCAAAGATTTATTCTACTTGATTGCCCCTACTTTTATCATGAGAGATTTTTTTTGCAATAGCTGTTTCCTCCAGCAGAACTGAGCTGCCCCAGTTTCTCAGGAACTAATTGCCAGCAGCAATATGGCTGCCAGAAGTAACTGACAATTGGTCAGATATCTGTGGCTTTTTTCATGATTAGTTTTTAATACCATGTCTTGTCCCGATGCAGCTCAAGATAACAGAAGTTCAATGGTAGTTCCTGTTTAGTTGGTTATCGATTCTGCTGTAGTTTTTTGTGTGGGGTCAGTCACTGGGAACTGTTTTCACTGTACTATTTGCAGTTTGGTTCTCTGTATTTTCAAAGAGCTACAGCAAATTCTTCAGTGTGTCCCTGTTTCAGATTTATCATTGCTATATTGTAGGAGAGGTTGTTTCTATTTATTTCAGTTCTACTTTTATTATGGCTCCTTACTTGATCAAACCTTAAACATTTCTGTTGAATTCATGGTTCATAATCTATTTGCTATAGATCCTTTTTTTCAAACATAAGTAGTGAGAGGTCACAGAACATTTAACTCCTCAATTTTAAGAACAATCTAAAACCTTATTTTTATAACTACAGGTTTGATTGACATTTAAGGCTTTATTTTTAAAAGCAAGATCATCCAGAGGACATTGAGCTCTGAGACTTTTCATTTGTCCATCACATTAGTGGTGATTCATGAGTTTGAATGGGTTAATTTTTGTCTTCATTAACGTCTTGAAAGGAAATAAAACACCCAGCAGTAGTATGAGAGCTAGAGGCAGCTTACCTATTATTATTGGGATCTCTGAGTTCAGCTGAGATCTCAAATGACTGGGAGAGTGTGGAGAACATCTTAGCAGATTTTTACATCTGAACATCAAGATGGTGGCTATAAGGAATCATGTGAATATATCCTGTTTTAACTGCAGGTGTTCGTCTGGATCGAGTCCGTGGAGGCCGCCAGAAATACAAGAGAAGACTGGATTCTGAGAGTAGCACTTATTTGAGCTTACAGATCCCTCCCCCAGCTAAAAAGCCACGTATGTATCAGTCTTTGGATTGTGGTCCTCTGAGCAACCACTGTGTTCCCTTTAGTTGGTCTCAAAATGTTCAGTGGAGCAGTTATCAATTCAAGTTCCCATCAGTCACCAGCACTTTTTCTTGTGATCACAGTGCATAAGTATACTTGCTACATCTAAGGTATAGCCTGGGTGCAATATGTATTGTATCTAGAATATAGACCAGAAATTTCCTAGGAGATTATAAAAATTCGTTTAGTGATTTTGCTGAACTCTTCCGCCACCCAAACTACCCTGACAAAATTGGTCCTGTGCTGATTTCTCTCTTCCATATGGCCGATAATTCCCTAAACTTTTCCAGGTCCTATCAATTGATTATTCATGTTTTCTCCTATCCCTGTTGGATCTACCTGAAATAGTGATTGACAGCCTTACAGTAGCTTGCTGCTTTTGTCATCCCTGTATGGAGCTGATTTGGCATAGACAAATCACTACAGCAGATAAGGTTGTGGTGTACTGTCCTCTTGTGACCTACACAATTTCTGAGGTCCCACAGCCTCTATAGCCCTGTATTCTGAAGGAAGGCCCTTCTAGAGAGGGCTGTTATGGCACCTTTTGTCATGAGAGATAAAACAACAACTTCTCCTTTGAAATGTGCAGTGACTAAGATCGTCTCCCACTTGCTGGTGGCAGAGCCAGAGAAGATTTATGCCATGCCTGATCCAACCATGCCGGAGAGCGACATCAAAGCCTTGACAACCCTCTGTGACCTGGCAGACAGGGAATTGGTGGTGATCATTGGCTGGGCGAAGCACATCCCAGGTAAATGGGAAATTACAGGGCTTAAGTGTGGACAGCAAAGAGAGCTATTATTTATCACTGTGCTTATCAGTCTTCAAGGAGGATTTTTACATATAGTGATGGATGGAAATTACTGATACAGAGAACTGCTTGTGGCAGGCTTTCATTGGAAATGAACTCCAATATAACCCCTGGTGCAGGTGCATGAGTTCATTGTATGTGTGTGTGCCCTGGCATTATGCAGTAGGCTTTGAGGTGCTACAACAAAGTCCCCAGTGACACCTGCATTGAGTGGCACAAAGAAAGCACTTGGGGAACAGCCCTTGGGATGGTGGACTTGTAATGATCTTGAACTACATCACTACGGCCTAGGTCTGTTCTGTTTATAGATGAAATAAATGTTATGATAGTGACTGGACAAGGCAGGTGCTCACTCTGTAGTGGGTATTCTTGCGCAGACTTAGGAAAGCTTTTATCTTACTGGATTCATCACAGAGCAAGTCCCATTGGAATGGAGGACATAATCACTATTGTCAGTCAATCTCTGGTCTTCTGTGCTGAAAAATAATGAGGACAATGTATTGGCAATGTGACTGGCCTCTGAAAGCTTACTGCCTGTATCCAACTGAGTGTGCCTGTGCAACTAAGTGAGAGAGCTACAGCATCTCACATGCAGTAGGATGGACCCAGGCTGAAGGAGCAGACATGATCCTCAAGAAGGTTCTGGGACATAGATTCAGACAAAACAGGGAAAATGCCCCTTCCTTCTCTGTTGCTACTCCTTCACAAACACCCTCTCCAAAAAAATAGATTGGATTTGGATGTGGGGAAGATTGGACAGGGAATTTGGAGAATGTCCTTGAGGTTTACATGTCTGCTTTTCAGAGGACTGCTTCAAACAGATGCTCACTGTGAACAGCTCAGTACTACTTTCTCCTGCCTTCCATCCTGCCTTGTTGGGAGAATATCTGAGGTCAACCACAGAATTACAGGATTTAACCAGTACTTGCTTATTGTCTGCATCTTCTACTGCATAGACTTGTGTTATGTTGCTTAGCTTCGTGGCTTTAAGTTCTTCTTTGTTTTGTGAGGCATCTTAGCATGGGTGAGCAAACAGTTTATTTCTCTTATGTATACTGCTTCTCTTTGTCACTCTTCTTGTGGCTTTTTGGTGGCTGCTCTTCTTTTCTCAGTGGGAGTATTTCTCTTGTGACTCAAGGGTTAGTGACTTCCTAGGCTGTATGAAATACATAATGTTATGTGGTGGGACTACAAAGTCTGGATAAACTTTTTGAGGACAGTGTTTCTGAGTAGAGGTTAATTCCAGTGGTGCCCTTCTTACATGAGATCTGCAGGATCTGCAAGGATTACATCCATCACTAGCACTGGAATCCTTCTGGGGCTGATTCATCACAAACGGGGTTATAGTAGTGATTAAGGAACTCAGCCTGGATTGTTCTACTAACCCAGAACTTAGGGTGTTAACAGGAGTGGTTTTCATGCAATGCAATTATCTGCTTTGCTGTCCAGTAAGGTGCTGCTGTCTGTTCTGCTAACCTTGTCCACTGCTATTTGCACAGGGTGTCCTGCTTTAGTTCCCTTGTTTGCAGTGTGGGATGCTCAGTTCTGAGTTCTTACAAGGTTTTTCAGTTTGCTATAGTGATTATCCCAGAACAGGTGTGTAGTAATGAAATGGCTCCTGCACTACAAAAAGGGATCTTCCACTCCATTGTGAAAGGGAGGACAAACCTGTCGTCACCTCAGCTTTCTCTTTCCTTTCCTATCCAAGATTTTGCAATGTGATAACAGCCATCAGCCTCATACAGTTCAAAGCAGCAGTATCATAATAGGACTGTGCATACAAGAGAGAGCTCAGGGACTGTTACACAAGGGAGCAGTAAGAGTTCATAGAAAGGGAACAAAAAAACATGTACAAAACATACTGCATTAGGCAGCAAGGGGGCAGAACAGGGCAGGGCCAGGAGGCTGCCAGGAGGCTGGATTATATGTGCCCTGTATTTCTGCCTTCCAGAGATTTTTAGAATACCAGGACTTTGCTTCCTGTGTGCATAAACTCTTGTACATAGTCAGCATGGAGAAAGGAACAGAAGTCACATCATATCTGCCTTGTTTTCACAGTGGAATTAATAAAGAACTGTGTGGTCTTAGTCTAACCAACCCTTCAGGATCCCAGATGTTGCTATAAACTTCTGCCTCATGCTGCTAGCAAATAAAATCAAAGCTAAAGTCCTACGACAACAGGAAAGCATGGTTTAATGGTGTTCAGCAAATATCTTTAGCTCAGCAGTCTTATTAGCTATTAGCTCAAAAGCCAGACTTAGTGTGGCGTTGTACCCTTCTGAGTGAGGCCCCTCCCCTTGTGCTAATTGTCTTTGAACATCTACCATTTCTGCATGCCTTGATGCAGGGAGACAGGACTTCTCTCAAGAGGTGATGGCGAAGGCTCTCCCAGGGTAGCTGTTGTGCTGTTCTCACTAGGAAGACGATAGTACTAGTATAGAATGAAATATGGCAAGTGGAGTGACAGCAGCTGTGTCTGGAGTGGCCTCAGATCCTATAATTACATCTCCCTTTATTACCTCTGCTAATGGCCCTCCAGAATGACAGAAATGATAATAAATTAACAGATTATGAACTCCACTTGCCACAAATTATGTGACTTTTTTTTTTTTTTTTAATTCTGGGAGCTCCCACTGCCATATCGCTGAGGGGAAAAAAAAAAGCCACAAAAATAATGATTAAAAAAAAAAGAATGTCACATCAGCTATTGCAAATAAAGCAGCTTTTCTCTACCCGCACCTAGGAAGGAGGGAAATGCTCATGCAGCTCTGTGCTGATCATGGAGCCTGTGCAGTCCTGAGATACTTCTTTAGAGCCTCCCACTGCCAGTGGAGTAGTCAGCACCTTTCAGAATAAGGCCTGCAGCAAGAAACAGATTAGTAAGGGCACTTTCTGGATGCTGTGCTATCAAACAACTTAGGAATGCACAAGGCTGGATTGCTAGCAATTCCTGAGAGCTGTGATCTGGTGATGCACTTGAATTTCCCAACTGGATGTCCTCCAGTGTTACAAACCTATAACAGCGAGCCTCTAATTTTGGCCAAATGAAATTAACATTTATCACTCCAGATCCCAACTTTCATATAGGAAACCCTATGTTGTCTGATCTTCCTTTGTCTGTGCAGAGTGCAATATCATACATCACAGTCCCCCAGCCCCTGCATTCTACTTGTGGAAACAGTGGAGGAAGAGGCTTCCAATTCTGTCACACATTTCAAATCCGGAACTGGCACTGCAGCTCCTGCCTTCATGCTCACCACAGGAGACTGGCAGAGGACTCTGCTGGGTGGGCAGGGCAATTGCAGCTCGCTCTTCTGTCCCCCTAGGCATAGGTAAAGAATGACCTCTGCTTTGCAATTCTTTACCTGCTATAGCCACCTCTGGGAAAGAGTGGTTCATAGAGGTGCTGAGTGTACAGGCTACTGCTAAGATTAAATCAAGATTTTCCACTTCATTCTGTAACAGAAACGTGTGAGCTATGTCTGTCTTGGATCCTCTCACCATACTACATAACTGTTTCTCAATCTTTAACAAATTTTGTTGGCAGACTGCACTGAGACAACAACATAACCCCCTTTGCAACATAGATAAATAATGACAGTTTAGAAAGGCCGCATGATTTACCCAGAAACTGGACTTAAGGCAGCAGCCCAAATGTGGGGCTGTTCTCCACAGGCAGAGCTAGGAGAAGGGTGAATGAAAGGCTGAAAGCTGGCTGCAGAGGAGAAATTCCAGGCCCCAGAGACTGTGCCAGCACCTGTGCACAGCTTCCTCTGCCTCATGGCTAATGCTATGAGGTTCCTGAGTAGCAAGGAGACCTGGGGAGACAGAACCCAAGCCTGAGAGCTGCCTCAGCCTGCTCTTGGACTCGGGATGGCTGCATTCAGGAGCAGCAAAAAAGCAGCGTACTGACTGCTCCTTAATAGGAGTTAGGGAGCAGGAGACTGAAGAGAAAAAGGAGAAAAGCATCCCTGCATCTTCAGCAAGGGATGGGTTTCACCAGGCACAGGGCTATGTGGGCTGTGCTGTACAGGAATCAATCTCACAGTCATGGAGCTGGATTTTTGCAGCTTTTCTCCCCAGCAGCCTGGACTCTTTAGCTGTTCCCTCTGGCACTCCTCCCCAGTGGTTTATTGATTCTTTCCTCCCACCCACTGCTCCCCTCAGACCTTGCACACACAACATGTGACAGCTGATTGGTATCTGTTAATTAATGTGGCCTGGGGCCTCTTTTCTATTCAGTGGCCTGATAAGGGAAATTGGATGTCCAAGGGCTGCCAGGCCATTATCACCCTTTGCTTCCCCTGGCAACACAAACACAAAACATGGCGTAGTGATAAATAAATACCACTAACCCACCCTTCTGCCATCCCTTCCCCAGCTGAGATAGCGCAGATAGAAAAAGAGGACCCACAGTCAGTCAATATAGCAATCATCAGCTCTTTTGTTAATTGCCAACTTGATAACAAGAGAAATCAAATGATCATCATGGTGCCTGGCTACCTAGGCCTTGACATAGATCCAAGGAAAGTGAGCAGGGAGAGCTGTGGGATGGAAGCATCCCGCTGGGCCTAACACTCAGTTAGTGGGACTGGCAGGCTCCTGGGGACAGAGGCTACTGAGCTCCCATGCTTCTTGAGAGTGAACCCCAAGGCTGAATAAGCATGTGGAGTGAAGACTGGCAGGGGAGGCTGGTGCAGCACAGCTCTCTCAGCTGAGAGTGTCAGACTGCCCCATTCTCCCACTGCCTGGGGAACCTTTAGACACAAGGAACTGCCAAAAATCACAATTCCTGCCTGACAGTGGTGGACAGGAGCTGCCAAGACGGGACCAACTCACTGTACTTGACATCCCTGTCTGCAATGGCTGTCATACACTGCCTGTCTCCTAGGATCTTTCTTTCATGATCTGGCTTTCTGGGATCATGGGCTTGATACTGAGGACGTAATGGATATAGCTTTCTTTCCTATGTACTTGCTTTTCCCTTTCTCTTCAGACAGACAGTACCTCTGTGTTTCAGCCTCTCCACTTCCCCACCACAGCCAGGGCTCTGAGGCTGTCTGTGAATGTAACTGCTCTTTTTCTGTTTGGGGAGGATGATCTGCTTCACTGTTCTGTTGCTACAGGGCCTGGCAAGAAATTAGGTGTTTGTAGCACCGCAGAGGTGTTTGTGTACTGGGTAAGGTTGACTGTGAGGGGTGGAATGCTGACGGTGTAGAGTTCAGGGAATACTGATGAATGGAAGAGGATTTTTTCACAGACATATTCAGCTTTCGACATTTCAGTGCTCTGTTGTGGCAGGACCTTCTCTTAGGTTGTCTGAAATGAGAGATTGCAGTATGCATCTGTTATTTCTTCCTATTCCATCAGAAACAATATTGTCTGCTTTCTGGAGCTCTCTGCTCTTTGGTTCAGCTGGGGACACTAAATGGGCTGCTATACAAAATTACAAAGGTTCGGTGAACAGGAAGTAGTGATGCAAAACAGTTGCTGCTGTAGAAGTAGGAGAGATCACTAAAAAGAGATTCTCATTAAGGTTGCCATATTCTGTGTGTTCTGTTTGCCACAGAGACAGGGGTCACTTCAGTAATCATTTTCTGAGAGTTGCAGGAGGAGAGTGCTTTGAGTAGACTGCAGAGAAATTAGGAAGCCCAGGCTCTGGGATTCTTTGCTGCACACCCGTTTGACCCCGGCTGTCTTTTGCCCCATCAGGGTTCTCCAATCTCTCCCTTGGGGACCAGATGAGCCTCCTGCAGAGCGCCTGGATGGAAATCCTCATCCTGGGCATTGTGTACCGCTCCCTGCCATATGAGGACAAGCTCGTCTATGCTGAGGACTACATCATGGACGAAGAACACTCTCGTCTGACGGGGCTGCTCGAGCTCTACCTGGCCATCCTACAACTGGTGCGCCGCTACAAGAAGCTCAAGGTGGAAAAGGAAGAGTTTGTCACGCTTAAAGCTCTGGCTCTCGCCAATTCAGGTACAGCCCTGGCCCAGGCAGCCTTGTGATCAGAGAGTCATTGCGCATGCTGTTATCTGGGTTGGGAGGAACTTAGGCCCCAGTGCTTGAGACTGTGCTTTGCCCGTGTTGTATAGCATCTTCACATTTCTCTGTCACCCACAAGAGACAAGGAAGGTAGGGACTCCAAGCTGGAGAGGAGAGAGAAGCATGGCCTGCTGCCACTATGGCATCAACTGCAAACTGGCCCTGAACTGGGGAGTGGGACCTGCCAGAGGTAGGCTGGATTCCAGCAGTAAAAGAAAGGCCTTGTGCCATGAGTTTAGATAAGGGTAGTGTTGGGCAGTTATAGCAAATAGGGAAACTCTAATCTTAGTCTCAGATCCCACAAAAACAAACAAAAAACCCAACAAACCAACAAACAAACAAAAAATCCTGTGTGGTTAAGGCTGCTTGGTCTGCTGCTGTAAGTGTTTAGTGACCACTGACACTGAATTCCCCCCTCCCCACCCCTGTCTGAATGGTAGAGGATAAGACGTGCTAGCAGAAGCCTGATGCTGCCTGTTTTGTTTCTTTTTGGGAAGAGGATGAGAGAGACAAGGGCCCTCAGCCTCCATCTCAGTGGGGGGAGGTTTGCAGCCCTCGGGCCAGCAGGCTGGAAGCCTGTGCCCATGGGAGACACAAGGTTGTGTGTGCTGTACTGATGTTGTACTGGACATATATTTGCTCAGGAGTTCCTTCTGAAGGGAAACTGCTGAAGCTATTGTGTGACGAGGGCTCCCTCTACATCCCTTGAGTCTCACTGTCTCGCATCTGATCTTGCCAAACTGCAACATGTAGGTTACGCAGTTCACCCTTGCAGGCCAGCAGTGAGTCCGGTATCTGTGTTCAGCTCAAGGCACTTTCCAGAAAGACACTCAGTATAAAGCCGAAGGCCTTAAATATGGGGAAATCCACATCTTTCACAATAGTTGACTCTAAAAATTGATCATTCTCTTAATTTAAAAAGAAAAGAAAGGTACCATATCCCAAGCAATAGTTTGCCTGAGTTCAATCAGCCTGCAGACAGAGCTTTTCTGAGCTGTGTCCTATGATCCCAGGTCCTTTTGCACCTGACAGCTTGACATGATATAGTTCCTATTTCATAGTTGCATTCCTGGGCTATCGGTGTTACTTCAAATATAAGCAAGTGGTCCAGAACTCTCTGTGAGGCTACTCTATCCTCACTGTTTTAAACCTTTCTGTTCTGCTTTGTCATCCACACATCTTAGCAGCAGCAATTGGAAAGAAAGAAGTTAAAGAAAGAAAGAACAAAATCACTTACAGATAATTGATAAAAATGTTGAGTAGCATCTGTTGTTTTACTGATCCCTGTGGGTTTCCACCAGAAATCTCTTCCTCCAGGGATGATTCACCACTGATAGCTACTTTGAAATCTGTCATCTGGCCAGTAACTAATCAATTGAAAGTGTGCTTTATTGATATTGCATGGTGCTAATTTTTTAATGAGAATGTCCTGTGGTGCTAAGCCAAGTGCCATATAAAAGACTAAGTCTATTATATCTATGCAGTTAACTTTATCAACCAAACTTGTAATCTCATCAGAGAATGAAATCAGGTTTGTTTGACAAGACCTCCATTCTAAAATATTGTGCAGCCTGGCAGTAGTTGTAATACCACCTCTTAAGTTTTAATTGAACATTGCATTTCCTCTTCCTTTATTTTACTCTGGTTCACATCAATGGCAATTATCAAACAGGGAAAGTATATGCTTCATTAGAACTTTTCCAGCCATCTCAAATTTCTCAAACATATCTACACTTAGCAATTATTTATCTGCCCTAGGTGGGCCTTTGCCAGCAATTTTAAAACTCTAAAAGCCAAGTTATCAATATCTACTGATTCCTGTGGAGTCTGTCCCCAACAGATGTCTGATTGTCTTGTGGAAACAAGAGAATAAGGAGTCTCATCATCTTCATATAAGACAGGTACATAACACTTCATATTCTAAATGCAGGACAGAAATACTCACTGCGGACTTTTGCTTCCTCATTCTATTAATAGTTTAATCATCTACAACATAAAAGAGTCCCCCTACAAGTGGTCATTTTTCTTCTATTTCTTAAATATTTAAAAAACTCTTCTTTATGGCCCTTAGCCCTTCCAGCCATGGATTTTCTTCCAATGTCCTTCACTTCGCTTATCGATTTTTTACACTTCATAACTTTTGATTCATATAAATTGCTATCTACTTCCCTTTTTCAATTTCTCATATACTGCTTTTTTACCTCTAATTGCTGCCTTTACTTTGCCACTGAACCAGGATGGGCAGATGGCCAAGGCTGCCCTTTCTCTATATTGTGGGATGGTGGCTTTTGGCTACGTAATCAACTCTTGTTAAAAAACCTGCCTCCTATCTACCAGGAAGGTCATGGGGTTAAACAAGGAGAAGGGCGTCTCAGAGGCTGAAGTGCTAAGGCCGCATAGTGACAGGGTGACAGAAGAGCCATACTGGGACATTTATCTGACCTGTGTTTGAGTGGACTTGTACAACCTGAGCCTTGATGCTCTCAAGTTCTTCATGGTGCAACAGAAACACTCTACTATACTGCTGTCAGGACTAAGCCCCATATAAGCCTGATGGAATAGTCTGTAGTAGTAGAGAAACACTGAGCAGAACAACCAATGCTTAGCAGCTGCTTCAGGTTTCTGCTTTTAGCACTGTGGAGCAAAGAAACCAAGGTAGAGGTCAGTAAACACAGGCCTCACTTGAATGGGAAAAGCCACTCTAACTGCACTGGTTTGTTCTAGAGCAACTAGAAGTACAGTCAGATAGGAGCATAAGCCACAAAAATCTTGCGTTGTTAGTGTTATTGAAATATATGAAAATACATGTACGCACAAACACACACAAGGAAACTAAATAGGGAAAGCAGTATTTTTCTAACATAACCTTCACATTCAACCTTTGCATTGTTTTAATACATGTTATTATTCTTAGTACTTTTTTGACATGGAATAAACCTGCAGAACCTTCATGTATGTACTTACATGCATGCACAGCTGACTCCAAGAACAGGAATGCAGACTACCTCTGGGCCATTCATTAGCTCTGTGGGTCAGAGGCAAGGTTTAAAGCTGAGCATTTAGATTAACACCTATGTTGCTGGAACCTGTCTTTTGCTCCTTGCCTTCCATAACGATAAATTTCTGATTTTCCCCTATTTCTGTTAGGTGTAATTTCTCATGAATCCAGTTTCTAAGGACTTTCCACTCTTCCATGCAGCTCTTTGCATGTTGAGCCTTTGCTTCTAGTAATTAAAGTGAATGGAAACAGAAGTGGCAGCTCACTCGCTGTTCACTAGAAGGGAAGGTGACAGTAGGTGCAGTGTTGCTTTGAAGGAACCGCCTTGCCCGAACTCTGATATCTAATCATCACTGAAATGCACCAAGGACTCCTCTGGTGGGACTGGCACCAACCAAAGTCTGTCTTTACTGAGTACTTTTCAGAGAGCAGAGAAATTAATTCTTAATGCCCCAAAGCAGCAAGCAAGGTCAAACAATGCAACGTCAACCATTTTTTGACAGAGTAGGTGTGCTGTAAATGTCACCTGCTACAGTTCAGAGACAGCAGTCCCATGTTAAGCATTTCTAGCTCCTTTCGCCTCAAGAATACAAATTGATCAAGCTGTGCATCAGAGAGCTCTCCAGGTTAGCATACAGCGCATGTTCAGCTAAGGATGTCCCAGACTGACCAACTCTTATTTCTCTCTTTTTTTTTTTTTTGGTGTCCATTCTCATACCTGCTCTATATTCCATGCCAGCAGTGCTGGAGAAAAAGGCTTCTAACACAAAGCCTCACGTCTAGGCCTGCTGACCCTCAGAGACATGGCCAGGCTGCCTCCAGAGCACCTCAGTGCTCTGACAGCTGTAAAAATTCATAGCTATTGATTTTGTAATTAACAGTTTATCAATGCCATTGACACCAGCTCATTGATGGATTGAAAGGAAATTAATCCTGCAGTGTTATTTTATATTTTGCAGTCAGCTGCTGATTTTGAGCTTCTTTCAGCAAAAAGTGGGAGAAGAAGAAAGACAGGCCTTGGATCTTTATTTCCCCAATTCGTCTCCACCTATATTCTTGGCTATTTAGTGCTGTTAGGGTCTCCTCACCTTACAGAGGCCTAGTAGCATAAGGGCACAGCTTGAGCACTGTCTACTGCACAGCAGAAGCAGCACTACTCAGAAGGAGGGCACCCACCCTGACCTGAAGCATGGCTTTACTGCATGGTGCCTCCAGCACCTACTGGGCTCTGTAAGCTCTGACAGGAGCTCTTGCTTCTTCCCTTGTGCCCCCAGCCAGAAGGGCACACATAAAATAGGAAGTGTGGAGCACATTTCTCTCTGAATTCCAACTTCTTGATGCCTCTAGTCTCCAAAATCACCTCCGCAATTTGTAAGGAAATGCTTCTCCTAATGGTGTATGGAAATTCTCCAGAGGAACCACCTGGCTGAGAGAAGTTGCCAGCCTGTTTTCCCTCTCTCCCTCCCTCCCTATCTCTCTCTTCCTTCAGAATCAACCTCTGTGGCAAGCTCAAGTCACATTGATGACGCACCAGCCCTTTTCTGGGCTTCATTGCCCGGTCTCTTTTATACAAAAAGCAAATACAGCAATAATGATTTTTTCCCAGTATGTATCTTGGAAGTACAACCCTTTGATATCCCCTAATTAGTGCATTCCTTCTAAACAACTTTTTAAACAGCTTTCTTGTTAGACATATTGTTTTCTTGACTGTTGTAATACTTTATAAATCATACATTATAAATAGCATCTACTGTACATGTATTTTATGAAATTCACAATCTAATTTGTGTTGAGCTCTCCATAGAGATTATGTGTATTTCTGGAGAGATTCTGGCATTTCATCTGGCTTTCCTCCTCCTCTACTGCTGTCAGACTTGGGAACCAAGTCCTCACATTTGCATTGGATGCATGTAGGCCGAGCAAGACACTGTTACACTGCAAAGCCCAGCTAGAGTGGCAGACAGGTGCAAATGTGTGTGTTTATTCTAGCATCCCTTTGCTTCTGCTTCTAGAGTCATTGCCCCGTGGTCAAAATAGGAATCTTTATCAGTGCATTCAATATTGATTAAAAGTCTCTGAACAATGAAGACAAGGCAACAGTGTATAGCTCTGTCAGGGTTGTGAGGCAGAAGCAACTATCAGCAAGATGAAAGGGAGAAAACCTTCAATGACACGGTGCTTAGCTAGCTTCTCTAATCTAACACCTCTCCTCTGTTGTGGTGCCCTCTGCCATCAAGACTTCCCCACAAATCTAGCAGTCTGTGTTCATCTTGGGTGCCTCAGCTTGACCCAGGACTGGGTCACTATCAGCTATCTTTGCCTCAGAGATGCACCAGGGAGCCATGCTAGCCTCTCCAGCACTTTCTGCTAGCCTCTCCAGCAGCCTGGCAGCCTAAGGGAAGAGGCCTTGCAGGAGGTGCAGATTTCTAGAAGGACTGAATCAGGAAACTCTCGAGCAGCTGCTAGCAGTCTCTGAAAATAGGGGCATATGCACAAAGGTGGGGCTGGCAACACCCCTGGGCACACTGACTGTGACCTGCTGGGGCTTTTCTGTCTTGCTGACACCCTGAGCAGCTGCATGGCAATTAGGTAGTTTAGACAGATGAAGCGCTACAGCAGTGTTAATTATTCTTAATGAGATTGCTCCCATGCGGCAGCACAGCAGATGCCACCCCTTGCGGGATGACTCCCCTGCAGGAGCATGGAGGGCAAGTGAATGTGCAAGTCACAAAGGCCCCTGGCCGACCCCTTGCAGCCTTGAGTAACCAGCAAAGTGGACACACAGGGCACAACGTGTCACAAACCCCAGTAACACTGCTACTGTTCCTGCACTGCTAGGGTCTGCTCCTGGGCCTGACATCAAATTTCAGAATAGCAGCAACTGCAAGCAAGTTGTTTTTTTTCCCCTTACGAAACAAAAGAGAAAAGCAATGAAAAAAAATTTTTTAAAGCATCTTTAGCTGAAATACTGGAAAGCGTTTCCTTCCTCATGTCTGATTTTCCTGTTTGCTTTCTCTTCTCCCTCCCCCCAGACTCTATGCACATAGAGGACATGGATGCAGTGCAGAAGCTCCAGGACCTTCTCCACGAAGCCCTGCAGGACTACGAGCTGAGTCAGCGCAACGAGGAGCCCCGGCGAGCAGGGAAGCTGCTCCTGACCTTGCCCCTCCTGCGGCAGACAGCCGCCAAAGCTGTGCAGCACTTCTACAGCATCAAACTGCAGGGCAAGGTTCCCATGCATAAACTCTTCCTAGAAATGCTAGAGGCAAAGGTCTGACAGCCCCAGTGCCAGCCGACAATGGCCGGGGAACAAACTAGAAACAAAGATGCAGACAACGGAGCAATCCAAACAGCAGCAGCAGCCACCGCCGGCTTTTATCTCCAATCATTTATTATGGAAGAATTATTTAATGTCTATTTGTCGGCGTGACTGCAGAATCTCATGTACAGGAGGGGGAAAACTCTTTTAATCAGTCACCTGTTTCTCTTTTTTTCATTTGTTTTCTCTGTGGGAAATACCAGAATATGCTCTTGCACTTGTTGAGGCGGTCGCTGGGGCTCAGCCCCTGTGAGCGATGTTGCTCTCAGCACTGTGCCGGCCGCCTGGTCCCCAGCTCCCTCCACCAGTGCTGGAGGGGGAGTGGGGACTGAAGCAGGAAGAGACGAAGAATAGAGTCAATATAAACTTTATCTGCTTGTGCTGTGAGGGGTCAGATAGAAAGGGAAGCAGCCAGGGTCCTTCATTTTGTCACCTTTCTGGCTCTAACGATAGGGCAGATGCTCCTTCGGAGAGGAGCAGTACTGGCCCTCTCCTGATCAAAATGGCTGCCTCCCAGGCTCCTCTAGCGCCAGCTAGCACTTGTACATACAGGCCCCACTTCTTACCGGGAAAGATGCTCCTAACTGTGTAAGATACCCTGCGACCTTGTACAGTGTGTCATTACGCCTGGCTAGTCCCTCCCATGTGCAATCCCCGCAGGACCCTGAAGAGGCAGGATGTATGTCCCTGAGAGAATGCAAGTCTCCTTTCCCAGGTAGTGAGAAAAACAGATCCTGGTGTAAGCTTTTGTGCTGGGTTGACTTGATAATCTCTGCATCCTCTCCTATGTGGTGCTAACTACAGTTCTTCTGCACTTTTCACCCTGTAGTATATAAAACCTGCCTCTTCAGTGCAGCTGAGTGCCATTCCCCACTCTTTCCTTGTGGCAGAGAGCACAAGGCTTTGTCTGCATGGTTACCGCCCAAGTATAAATACACCCCAAACCAGGGCTTGCCTAGACTTCATTCAAGTAATAGATCTTTGCCTCCACAGAGACTTAGGCTTATTGCCAGATACTAGTTAGAAATCAAAGGAACCGCTTTTTGGGGGAGACAGCTCCTGAGCCCAAGAGACTGCTTTTTTTTTTTTTTTTTGATGGCAGCCTAGGCAAATAAGCTTAGAGGTTGGCATGGAACCCCCAGATCCAATATCCCAACTACTGTCTTCCCCTGCCTCATCCCATTATCCTCAACATAGCAAAAAAGCTAGCATGGATTATCCCTGGACCTGGTAAGAGGTTCTCTCACTGGTGGAAGAAGGGATATACCTGACCTCAAGGTGGTCAGAGAAGAAGTGGTGGAATGTTTATTTACTCATGTCACTAGGTTTCTACTGTGTCTGAGCCTTAGTTTAGCTCAGCTGGCTAAATCACAACTGCTGCATTCTCAGTATTCAGAGGGGAATTTGGGTGGCTTGAAAAAACTAGCTTGGCATTCTGTGAGATTTTATTTTCTTGGACACTTTGATCTGAGCCAGCCTGAGCTGGTGAGAGAATGTATTGTCTGTTTGGTGGTGAGTGACATGACAGCAGAGGTGAGGAGAAGCCTCTGATCTGTATTTAAGACACCACCACCTCTGCTGCCTCTGCTCAACTTAGGCTTCCATTCCTGGATAACCAGGCGGTGCGACCTGCAAAGGAAGCTGTTCCAAACTGTGGTTAAGGAGTGTGATCAGGGAGATGCTGGGTGCTTGTTTTCTACTGGAACTGAACATGTATCTCAGTGTAAAGCTCAGGCTAGCTCAGAAACTGAGGAAATTTGCTGCTACTGAGCTCTCAGCTCATGTTGCTAGCCCTCTGCTGGTCCTTTAGTTAGTTCAGTTCCATCTCCTCTGAGTTCTCCCTGCACTATACAGTCATAGCTACTCACCCATTCTGTACTCACTGCATAAAGGAATTCAGTCTTGCTTCAGGCACATTAGTAAGCCAGCAAAGACCCAGGAGTCAGAATGCACATGGGAGCTGGGATTGTTTCCATGCTCAAAGAAGCAGCAATTACACAGTGGCCTTGTGCTTTGAACAGATACCTGTGCTTCTTTTCATCTTCACCCTCCCAGAGAGAGCTGGGGAGAAAAACGATAGCTTCTGGTTGCACTTACAATCTCTGTATCTATCTGTAAATGAGAGGGACCAAACTGAAATGCAAGCCTTCACTAGAGCCAGTTTGCAGTGTGTTGCAACCTGGCAACTCTTTCTGGCTGTGGCATGAATATTCTCACACACTGTGCTGTGCGGTTGCCTCTAAGCAGGACTCACTTGACCACTGTTGCTTCTCTGCTGAGTCCCACTCAGCCCGGCTGCAGCACACTGTGTTCCAGCCTGCCTCACAGCTGTCCCAAAGTGGGCTGAAAAGATCTGAAGAAGCAAGTCTTACTCTGCTGGGCCCTGGCTGGGAAGGTCATTTAAAAAAAGTTCCAGGGAAATCTTCCCTAAGTAACCCTGCTTGAGCAGGGGGGTTGGACCAGGTGACCTCAACCATTCTGTGAGTCTGTGTGTCTGTGGAAAGACACCTCCAGCTTTGTTGAATTTGAACTTGGGCTTCCTTTCCAGAACAGAGGGGAAAATAACCTAGAAAACATGACTGTAAAGGAGGGCTGCTGAGTTACCTTCTAGCTCACGGCAACTGCTGTCTATTTAGAGTATGGAGGCAATGGCTGTGTTGGGAGAACAATATAAAAATACTAAATTTCTTTTTTGCAGGACTTTCTTTCTCCATTACAGCTGCATAATCTTGGAGCCCAACTGGATATCCCCTCATTGCTTGAAAGTAGTAGGCCTGGAAATTTTGCTGGTTTGCTTCTGAAATAGGATGGGAACTGAACCAGGCAGTAATTAGCATTTATTTGTCTCTCTATACCAGGGATGCAAACTCTTTTCCAAGAATGGGGACAGAAACATCTGCCTAGATTTAACCCTTAAAAGGCTTGTACCATCTTTAGTTGGGAAGCAGGGCAGGTCTCTTTCAGACAAGCCTTTCAGACAAGTGCAGGCTTCACATGCATCTCATCCCTTTCCAGTTTCTCTGATCTGCTGTGAATCAGTAGTACCAGCATGCTGCCACAAAAGAGGAGCACATCCAGCTACACAGCAGGTCAGGCTTGCAGAAAAGGGTGACATTTTAGTGTAGTCCCCTCAGTGAAGTTTGAAGTAGGAAATGAGGCTTCAGCAACTGCGTAGGTCTTTGGATTCTCATAGGCTCTTACAAAGAGGTCTGGAGTTGTGGAATTCAGACATAAACTGGGAGGTGGGTTCTGGTCAGCGTTTCTTATGCCATTCATTTGTAATATGGGGCTAACAGAGTCAGCTCCATACAGCTGTCCTTTTGCATGGGGCAAAAGATGACAGAGTTTGGACCTCGGTTTCTGTGGCTTACAGAAAAGAAAAGCTAAACTGTAGAGGTAAGTGTGTCAGTGACAGTGAATAAGCATGAAGCTGACATACAGCTAGTATGGTAAAAGCAGCTCTAGCCCCCAATATGCATGTGCAGATAACAGAAACCACGTACCTGTGAGCCACTGCAAAAAGGCAGATCTTCCCACGTGACCAGTTCTTCTGTTTTGGGCACATTCTTCTTTGGGAACAGCAGTCTCTGGCCTGTATTGCAAAATTAATTTCATGGGGATCAATTAAAGGAAAGGGGAAAACACTACAAAAAATGAGGTTTCTGGGGAAACTTGGGCATTACACCTCGCAGCAAAACTGTGAAGTTACAGGAAAGTCCCCTGCAACAATCAGAACCTTGCAGTACTGTTTGCACTAAGGGGGCATTATTTTTCTCTTTGTCATTTTTTTTTAAACAATTAACAAATTCTCCAGAAACATATAAGCAGCTATCAGAGGGGAAAATCACTGAGGAAGACCCTAGAATGTAACTTGTTGAGCTTTTATTACCAATTGGAGCTGAGAAAAAGTGCTTCCACTTTGTATCCACAAGCTATAATCAATTGTATGGCCAATTGTATGTTCTTGTGGCTGGCTTATAGAGGGAAGCTGAAGAGACAGAGGCTGTGAGATTGATGCAGGGAGTTATAGACAGTGAAATAAACAGTATCTACTTAACTATTATCTGCTCCTTAAAAAAGAAAGAAAGAAAGAAAAACCTGTGAAATAAATAAATTGTATTCTTGTGGTACAGGTCATTTCAAACAAAACAAGAAATAAAACACAGAAATGTAAAAACTAATCATGACAGAGTAATGTTTATTGTGTTTAGGAAGTGCTCTGTTCTGCCTCTTGGGGATGCACAGAGACCCACTGAAGGGGCTGGGGTGGGGGAAGGCCTCGTTTATGCATGCTACAGAAAGGAAAGGAGGAGAGTCCAACCTCTCACTTAAATGCCTTCATTCTGGTGTTTTCCTATATTCACAAATAAAATCCTCAGCAAGCTTTTGAGTTTTTTTAAGATCAGCATGGCTGAGGGCTGGTGAAACAGACACTGTCGTCAGTATCTGGCAGAGATTAGCCTCTGCCACTCACTCATTTTCTCTGGTGCAAGGAATAAACATGAGCTAGTGATGAAAAAGCCTTGAAGTTGTTCCAGTGAAAAACAAAATCTCTAATCATAAAATACATCACTGGCTTAAACCCAACAGTGACATCAAGAGTGTTGCAAGCATTGCAGCAGCTGCACAGTGCTGATGAAGTGGGTACAAGTGCTGAAGTCATTGATCTGGTGGTCAGGTGTTGCAGAGGGCAATCTCATTTCTATTTCAAAAAGTAGGGAGGGAAGAAGGTTTCTTTAAACCATGTTCTTTAAACACATTTCTCTGTCCCTCAAGTTAGAGGCATGTTTAACTGTTGGAATATGTTCTTCAGCTCCAAATGTTAAAACAGTTTGAGGTAGTTGCTTGTGGCTACCTGCACCCAAAATAAAATGAAAACAACCAGTGTTTTCCTCCTTCCAGCTAATGTATCAGTTAATGAGAGCAAATATTAAGTACAGAGAACTTCAGCATTCAACTTTCCAGTAACAAAAAGTGGCAATGCTTTGAGCCTCTTTCTTTACAAAGCCATTACTATCAATTTGAATAACACCGTGGAAGAGCCTGACCATCTCTGTCTGGAGAACAGGAGGAGAAACTGAGCAGTGTGCTGGGAGGCTGGACAAGACGGAGGATGGCAAGTCACAAACGAGCACTGAGTTTAGATAGCCCAGCAAAACACAGCAGCTCTGGTTCAAAACATTGCTGGCTAGGCAAGCCAAAAACAATGACTCTGAGCCAAAAGAACTGCAGCCAGAAAGTCTCTTTACATAAGTGCTAATCAGCTTTGAGAGGACCAGCATGGTTACAGCCTTCTGTGGGCTTTGTTCCATAGGGCTTAGGTAAGGCTAGAAACAGCTTCAGCTCTGGGAGTAGCAGTATCCAAATAATGACAAGCAGGAGTGAGGTCACAAGAAAGACCAGAACTGGCCAAACGCTCAAAGCATCATTTGTAAGAAAAACTGAGACAGACAAAAGCCACTGCTGACACATCACTGACTGCTGAAGAGTTCAGAGCTTCACTGAGCCCTTCCAAAATCCGGCTGCATGCTGACACTGGCCAGAAGTCTGCAGCAAACCATCTCTGGGCAGGACACACTGTGTGCAGAAGCAGCTGTTCTAGCTCAAATTACAGGGCCAGGTCCCTGTCACCAAAAATGGCCAGCAGCAGATGACGAGAGAACAAAAAAAATAGGGTACTGAGGTATAAAACTACAGCTCCTGGCCACTTACAAAGTCTCCTGAAGATAGAAATGAAGTCTCTGCATTTAACCACCCCTGCTGGTTTTTCTCACATGGATTTGTCCAGCCACTTTTCGAGGTGATACAAGCATTCAGCCTCTGCAGCAGCAATGAGTTCTGTGGATCACTGCTCAAAGAAATAGCTCCTTTGCCTGCTGTGGGCATGCCATCAGCTATTCTTATTTCATGCCCTTACAGCTTGCATTAGAAGGCACAAGGAACGGTCCCATACTCACTTTTCCCTACCATTCAGACTCTTCTAAATCTCTCCCAGTTTTACCCTCTGTCATTTCTTTTCAGGGATGAAGGACAGCTGCCAGCCTTACCCCCTCACTGAGTACACACTGCACGAATTAAATTAGAAAAATGGGATATTGAGAAAGGCAAGCGGCTGCCTTGGGCGAGATGCTTTAAAGGCAAGTACAAACATCGTCCCCATCCGAGAGACATACGAAGCTCTCTTCCTGTCACTCTATGCACACACAAACACACACTCACCACGTCTCTTAGCTATACTTTCATTCACAGCCCTGCTGAAATTCACATTTACTTTCAACACAGCTCAAAGACAAGATCAGCCTATGCAAACCCTATTTTCCTAAGCACAACAAGGGGGGTGTGGCCTTTTCCCCAGCAGAGCTTTTTTCCTCCATTTTTCCTCCATCTCAAATAAAGGAACTAAAAAGACACCTCAGCCTTTATCTGACCTAATCCTTTTGTATAGGAGAAATGGATTTTTAAAAGAGATGATCTTTAGTGCATTTCTTGATGCATCAAATAATAGAGTTTTTAAAATTTATTCCTTCCTATTGCACTATACAACTTGATTTCTGTTTAGAAATCCCAGCTTTATAAGTAAGTTCTGGAATACCTGACTACTGCTTTTCTGAAACGAACACACTGAGTGTGCCACCAAGAGGCTGAGCATCGAGTGATTTACTTTGGTAAATGAAATAACTATACATTTTGTTCTCTGACTTCAAGTGGCATTACACTTTCAATATGCTTTATGACACGTCCCCCACATAACTGCAATCATTGACTAATAAAAAGCAGAACAGTGATCAGATAAGGAAAAGCCATGACAGAGCAAACTAAAAGCACTTTACCTAAACTGGCAAGAATCAAACACAAAACAAGGCTTCATTTAATAGATGGGTTAGAGCAAAGCAGATAAACCATATTTTTACTCCATATGCCAATTAAGTCAAGTGCAATACATAAGTTATGAATAATCTCTCTGGAGTGAAGAGTGTTGGATTTGGAAGGAATATAATCTGACTGAAGCCAAAATTTTAATCACCTTCAATAATTATATTTCTAGTATTGTAAATTCTTTTCTATTGCAACATTGAAAGCAGTCATTTGTGCAAGTCATTTTCCATTCCATTACCATTTACATTACCATTCACACACATTTGAACCAAACCCTTGTTTATACCTTTTTGCCAGTGGTTAATATTACTATAAATCAACAAAGCTTTTGGGTCAGTCTTAAGAAAGAAGTACAGTTTCATCAGATATTACTGTATCTACTGAACCCCTGTAACCAAGCCTGGGATTATCACTTACTTCCCCCACTGCTGTTTTCATCCAACCATAAACATTCAGCAGAGTCCTAAGGGAGTGATGCTCATGGGGACTGTATTAGCATAGGCATTCTCTTTTCTGGGTGCTATCCTCAGCTTTGAGCACTTGTAGCTGCAGAAAATCCTGCACTGCTATTGCTGCTTCCGTGCATTTCTTCTTTCCAGCACAACTTTCTGGCTCCTCATGATTGAGCACTTACTGCTAACGTTTGGTATGTTTTGGTTTGTTCACTCCTCAGTCTCTCTCCTCCTGCCCTGTTCCTGACACACTGCTCAAGTGAGTGGGAAGGATGTCAGTGTCTATTCAGCTTCCTGTGCCAGCTGACCGCACCAAGCTGTTCTGGACCACTTCCATCTGGAAGGAGGGTCGCCCAGCTTAACAGGACCCATTGGTAAGGCTCTGCTAAATGTGCTGGCATTCCAGCTTTGAGAAGAATACAATTCAGCAGAAGTGACACTCCCTGTGTCTAGAGGATGTTTAGAGAAGGGCATTTGCAAAACAACTGATACTGACACTTGGGACAGGGCATCCTTTCCTGTCCTTCTCAAGCTTCCTGTGCAGGTAGGAAAAAAGTGCAGGCCTCAGACACAGCCCACAGTCAGACAGGATCACAGCAACTTCTGTAACAGGTGCAGTTAATCAGAGAAACTGTATCAAATCTTCCTGATCAGTGAAATACCCTGCTTCGCTAGGGCTCCGCTGCTCAATCCAAGAGGGCCTCCAAATCCTGCCTGCATAAGGTAGCAGAGCCACGCAGCGGGGCAGCACCTGCTAATGTATGTTGTCAGTGCTAGACTAAAAAGGCAGCGCTCCTATGATGCTGTGTGCATTTGGCAAAGAAGTTATTAACCTGAATTGAGTTACAGCAATTACAGAAACACCACTGTGTTCACATTCAGTGATCACAGAAAGTGAAAGCATTTTACAAATAAATCACAAACACCTTCTAAATATGTTTAGAAATGAGCAGTCAAAAGGAGAGGACGGAACCAGGACATACACTTCACAACTGTGTTTCTCAACTTTTTTTTTTTTTTTTTTAAATGAAGAGACCATTCAGCCTTTTCAAACAAAAAATAAAGAGCTTAGACTACTTAGTATCCCACGTACTTGTCAGCTATGATGAAGAGCAGGGGATAAAGAAAATCTCAGCAGATAGGCAAATAAGATGTTTCAGTTTTACAGAAATTATCAGGTGATTATTTTAACAAAGAAAATCTTATGTAATATTTAAGTAATGGAAAGGCAGATGTGACCTCTTCTGCAGGTCTCTGCTAAGCTGCAAAGCCTGTGCTGCAAGCAGAGTAAAGCTGCTGGAGAGGAGTGG